CCCTCACCCCAGAGGCAGCAGTGGCAGCTTGGGGAACAGGAGGAAAGGAGAGGGGGAAGGCAAGGGAGGAGCAGTGGAACCAACGCGAATATTTCAGCTGGGCTAGACCCCTCTCCCCATCCCTACTCTAGAAGCTTAGAGAGCCAGCCAGCAATGGAACCTTCTGGTTCCTGCGCCAATTGCCACCAATATCAATTGTGTGAGCTTGTGTCCGAGTGCATGTGTGCGTGAGTATGTAGAGTATATATAGATCTCTTATCTCGTAGCAAAGGTGAATACAGGTGTAAACTGCCTGTGGGCAAATGAGGCTTGTATTTTGCACATTTTATAAAAACTTGAGGAGAGAGATTTCTGCTTGTATATTTCTAAAGAGGAAACACCCTGACCTCCCTCTCCTTGACACTCCCTGTCGCTTTCAGCCCCTCCTTATTCCTCTGCCCAAGCCAAGGAGTGTGAATTTATAGATCTAATTTTCATAGGCAAAACAAAGCTTCAAGCTGTGGAGCCTGTGAATCTGTCATGTGGGTATGCATGTGTAGTCCCCGGCCCCAGACTGGGTGGAAAAGTGCATGGTGGAGGCCTTGAGGGGAGTCCCCACACTCCCCCTCTGCCCACTAGTCAATGAGGTGAGCAGATGCGGTGTGCCATCCCGGGGGGTCTGGGGCTGCTCACCTGGCTTGCTCAGGCTTGCCCACACCCTGCCCCCTGGGCTGGGCAGACTGCAGGGATCTGAGGTGGGCACCAGCCAGGGAAGGGATCCCGGGCATGGCTCCCACCTGTGAGCTTAAGGCTGATGCACTTTCCACGTCTCAAGTCTTCCATGTAGCAGCTTGACTAAACCCACGTCTGTGTCACGTCCAATCCCCAGGCAGCCGAGTGGACCCCAGAAAGGCTTCCCCCACACCCTGACATCCGCTGGAGTGGTGGGGCTGGGTGAGGGCAGGGGGCCAGCGGGGACATTCTTCCTGTGCTAAGAAGCCACTGCAAACATGGCAATAAAAACATGCCATTTTCCAAAGCTGGCTCCTGCTCCACCTCTGCTTGTCTGGTTGGTAGGGGGTGGGCCTGGGGTGGAGGAGTGGGGAGGCCTCCCACCTCGAGCTGCTTCCTTGGACAAGTATTTGTTCTACGCCCAGCCCTGTTCCAGGAACTGAGGATAGAGCAGGGAAGGAAGCTGGCAGAAAGCCTTTTCCCCCGTGGAGCTGACTACCTGGGGAGAAAGGGCACTGGTGTGCTGAGGCGGGACACGCCCAGCAGGGAATGTGGTGTGAGGTCCTGGGAAGGTGGGTGGGAAGTTGCAGACACTGAATTTCCCCAAGGTTGCCCAAATGCTGCACTGAACAGGTGACCTTCCAAGGTGCAGGCGGCGAGGGGTGGGCTAGGCAGCTGGCAGGAGGCTCCAGCAGAGCCTGGGAAGTTGGAGGTCCCTGGGACCAGGGCGCTAGCTGTGTAACGGAGAAGTCTTCAGATTAGGGACCTGTTTGCGAGGTAGAGCCAACCCGGCTTGTGGATGGCCGGGATGCGGGGTTGAGAGAGGAGTCAGGGAGCCCCCGAGAGATTGAGCCTGAGCACCCAGAAGAACGGCGTTGCCGGGCCCTGCACTGAGACGAGGAGGAGGTTTGGAGGGGCCGCTGGTGCCATCTGAGCAGAGACATCTAGTGAGCAGGTGGACAAGGAGTCTGGAGTTCTGGAAAGAGTCTGGTCTGGAGAGAGAGCTGTGGAAGTTCTCAGCACATAAAGATGGCCCTGAAAGCCCCGAGCCCGGCTGAGCTCACCAAGGGCCGCCAAGTGGTTGTAGAGGGAGAAGCGGCCCCAGCACTGGGCCCTGGGGCCCTGGGACGCTCAGAGGTGGCTGAGAAGATGCAGAGCCAGCAGCGGAGACTGAGGAGGGGTGGGAGGGACTCAAAGAGTGCCAAGGAAGGTCCTGGAACACGAGTGAGACCCCCCCCCACAGGGGTGGGGGTCAGGGAGGAGAGGGTGCTTCCGACAGTCAAGGGAGATGAGGCCCCAAACGCTCGCTGGGGCTTGGTGACAGGATCATGGAGACCTGGACAAGAGAGGCTGGGGGGGAGGGTACATGCAAAAGCCTGACTGGAGCTGGATTAAGAAAAAAGAGCAGGAAGCAACTCAAGCGCCCATCAATGGAGAAATGGAAGAACAAAATGTGGTCTATCCATACAATGGTATGTTATTCAGCCTTAAAAAGCAAGGATGTTCTGACACGTGGATGAACCTCGAAGACATGCTAAGTGGAAGAAGTCAGTCACAAAAGGAAAGATACTGTATGATTCCACCAGTATGAGGTCCTAGAGGAGTCAACCTCACAGACAGAAAGTAGGATGGTGGGTGCCAGGGACTGAGGGGCGGGGGCGGGTTAGTGTTTCATGGGGACAGAGTTTCCGTTTGGGAAGATGAAAAGTTCTGGGGGGTGGATGGTGGGGATGGCTGCACAACAATGTGAACGTACTTGATGCCCCTGAACTGTAATCTTAAAAGTGGTTAAAACACAAGTTTTACATTATGTATATTTTACCACAATTTAAAGAACTGGAGATAGTGAATCCACTCAGGTCGTTGTAGGCTGGGACCTCGTGCACAAGAGGCTGCAGCCATAGATGAGAGCAGGGTGCTCCATCCAGAGGCGTGGGAGGAAGGGCAGGACGCAGCACGAGCCCAGGGGGTTGTCAAGGCAGCCCAATCCTCAGCTGAGGCAGGCCTGGGGTGGGGGGCAAGGCTTGGAAGCCCGGTGCTCACTCTAGATGCCAGCCTGGGTATAAGGGAAGGGGTGGTCCCTCAGAGAAAAGGACAGTTTGCTCCCCTACAGTCACTCCCCAGCCAGTTCCTGAACTTGAGCAAGGCATGGGCCCCTTGGCGAGGGGCCGGCTCTGGCTTGTGATGTTGCCATCAGCCACGCTCTGATGGTCGCCAAGAAGACCCTGGACAGGGGGCAGGTCTCCACATGGAAGGAGCATCAGCTCAGCAGGCCTGACCCCAACTCAAGCCAGCCCTTTAGAGCCTGTGCTGGCATGCAGAGAGGTATCTCCCCAGCAAGACCACTACCTGGCCCATGCAGGACACGACGACCTGACGCCCGACAACCCTTGTCCCACCTTCTCTTCAAGACTTCTCACTCCACATACCCTCTGCTCTCACCACGCCTGCAACCTCCAGAACCCCAGGTGCTGGCAGCTCCCACATTTTAGCCTGGCTCTCCTGAGGTGAGGAGGCCCCTCACCTCGCATCCTGCCCTCGCCGACTCCTCCAAACAGTCCCTGCCTTCCCACCCCCGGACGGAGCCTGTGGTCTGCTGTCACCCTCAGGCCTGCTCCGCTCCCCACCCCGGGGCTCACACAAGCTCAACGTCTCCATTCCCCCAACTGTGGCCCTGCCTTGGCTCAGGTCCTCAACACCTCTTGCCAAATGGTCACTAAGCCACCTGCCACAATGCCACCAAAAGACTCAGAAAATATCACCACCACAAAAAGAGAACTTGACAGAGGTCAGATCACTTGGCCAGGGCCCTGAGAGCAGTGAGCAGGCACCATTTACTCAGGAATACGCCCTTGTGGTAGGTGCTTGGGACACAGGGACCAGCAATCTAGTGGGAGAGATGGGCCCGTGGTGCCCACCAGACTACCACAGCCAGGGGCAAGGCAGGGGATGCCGTCAGGCACATCGTGAGCGCAGTCCCGCTCTGAGCAGAAGGCTGCTGGAGGAAAACAGTGCTCAGGTTGGGCCCTGAGGGACCAGTTTCTGCAGTTGCCTCTCCAGTCTAGGCTGGGCCAATGCCTCACTTTCCACCTCTAAGGGTCTGTCGCCCCCATTGCTGTCTCACAGGCCCCCACCCATGCTAGATGAGGTGCTCCAAAAGTGGCCCTGTGCAGCTTTCTCCCCTCTGCCCGGCCCAGGGCCTGACACCGAGGGGGCTCAGAGGCTGCCTGGAGCTGGCCAGGGAAGAACCTGAAGGCACACTGTTTGGACTTTGGCCTCTAGAAGTTCAGAGACGGGCGAGCTCAGAGAGACCGAGGTAGTCAGGGAACACTTCCTGGAAAAGTGGGACCAGCCCTCAGCCTTGGCATGGCAACCAGAGGGCGTCACCTGCGGGCCCTCTCTCCCGCAGACACCCCATGAAGCCTGGCTAGAAAGGGGTGGCACTCCTCGTGAGAGCATGAGGAAGGGACACTAGAGACAGGAGCACAAGGCTGGGCAACACCAACATCTTCAGGGGTCCCCTTAATTCCAAAAAGAAACCACCTCTGACCCGCTCCCCTGGCCCCTCCACCCAGTCCTCAAGGCCAGCAGAGGACGAAGACCATCTGCCGAAGCCAGCTCAGCAACTGGGGAGTCGCCGAGGGGTAGCCCACCACAGGAGCAGGCTCTTCAAGCAGGCTGGCACACCTGACACATTCATGGGGATGCAGGCAGCGGGGGGCACCCAACCCATCAGAGCTCCTCCCCAACGCCTAGCTCTGCCCTGGGCCAGTCGTAGGTCACTGCCAAGGGCGAGTCTCCTCTCTCAGCCGGCATTAGTCAGAGGTCATCCTGTAAACTTTCAAGAGGGGGTGGGGCAGGGAGTGACTGGTGGCACTCTGCCACATTCTATCTGTCCTAAATGTGATGAACAGGACCTGGAGAAGGCAGGCAAGTCTGCCACCCGGAAACCCCACCAGTTTACCGAGTCTCCCAAGCTCCCCTGGGCCCAGTGGCCAACCCCCAGGGAGACCAAAAGGCCAGACACACCCCAAGTGGCCATAAAGTGGGGCCTGGCCTGGGGAGGAGGTGGCGGCGGTGGGGCGGAGAGGGCAAGTGTGAGCCTGGGCCCAGCCTGGGATGAGGGAGCCTTCAGGGATTAGAACAAGTTGAAAGAAAATACCCTGAGGGCCTCCAGGGCAAAGACTGGGGGTCTCTATCAGAGCTGCCTGCCGCTACCTTCCTGGTCACTCCAGGGAAACGGGAGAAAGAGGCTTCCTCTCAGCCTGTTTCACGCACATACCACAGACACTTCATAACAACCTTTATTGCCCCCAAGAGAAACTCTACTCTGCCTGCTCCACCCGCCTCCTGCAGGACCACAGAAAAGGGGCCTTGGAGCCCCGAACATCAACACACAACACAAAAAGAGGCTCAACCCAGCGGGCAGCAAGTCCCACCATGCCAGGTGACAGGTGCCCAAAAGGCTCCTGGCCGGTCAGGACAGCAGCAAGCTCATCCTGAGCGGGTATAAACCGGGGTCCCTGTGGTATGCTGGGAGAGCGTGGAACTGCAAGCGGTGCAAGGGGCCAGGAAGCGGAAGGGAGCAAACCGAAGTACCGAGGGCTCTCAGGAAGCAGCGAGCGTGGGCCAGGTGGCAGCCAGCGCAGGCAGGGAGGAGGGCCCTCATTCCTCCTTCTTGTCCGTGGGACCATCTACCGCCGCCTGGAAGGGACAGAAATCGCAAAGCAGTGGGTTGGCAGGGCGCCCCTCCACCCCAGAGGCCCAGTGTGGTGCCCCCTTCCCCCAAATGACAGGTATCCAGGTGAGTATCCGAAGCCCTGCCAGGATGGGAGTGAACCCATTCTAGCAAAGGCTGCGAGCCTAAGACCAGCCAGAGGGACCCAGCTGGAAGCCTCTGTTGTCACTTTTCTTAGAGCCGCCAACCCCACACCAAGGTATCCTCTTGAGCCCTGCTCCGCTCCTGCCCTCACGCCCACGGCAGCCTCGGCACCTGAGTCCCCGCTCTGGCTCTTCCCAACTCTGCAGACCGTATACAGGTCCTGCTGGTGAGCCTACCCTACACCGAGGCCGTTGGTTCCCCTTTGGGGTCTGGGCTCTCCCTCTCTGCCCACTGTGGTGCCCAAACTTGGGCCACCAAGCACAGACGCAAGCTGTCAGAACTCAGGGGTGTTTACCTGGCCCTCGTGCCCAAGTTTCAGGCCACCTGAGGTCCCCAATGCAGGCAGTCTGAGGACTCAGACCAGGCTTGGGGTGTAGTGGTGGCAATGACTAGCACCTGCTCAGGGAGCGGGGATGCGACGCCCTGAGCTCTTTGCCCCACATCACCCCGCAGCCCCTACCGGCGGAAGGCCATCTGCTGGACCTGGAGTTTCTCCTGCGTGTCTCTACCTAGTTCTGATGGGGCCTTTCAGTGGATTCAGACTGGACTCCAGGGCCCCACACCACGGACCAGGGGTGCATGTAAGGGAAGGAGCTCCTCTTAAGGGCACTGATGCTGGGCATGAGGCTGGGAAGGCCCACAGTGCAGAGGGCCGACCCCACTGCTGAGGCCACCTTAGTAAACGGCCGTCATCTGCCTCCACCTCTCCTGCCTGAGAAAGGGTTCTGGCTGCTGGGCCCAGACCGGCACTGCTTGGCAGGCTCTTGTCTAGACCCAGACCCAACAGCGACAAAAAAAGGCGGAGTGGGAGAGAAAGCAGCCAGCCTGCTGCTAGGGCCTCTCAAATGGCCTGGAGCAGTGGGACATCAGCTTTCCTGGCACACTGGGGTGTCCCCATCGGCCCTGCTGAGGCAGCCCTGATGGGGACAGACCTGCACTGAGGCTGAGAGGGCAGGGCGCGGGGGAAGAAGGATCCTCCAAGCCAAAAGAGCAGGCGGAGACATGCTGACCTGCAGCTTTGCATGCTCCTCCAACAGGCGGTCGTACTCCTTGGTCAGGCCCTCCGACTGCTTCCGCATGGCCAGAGCCTCATTTTCAGCTTTCTCTAGTTCTGGGGATGACGCAAATGACGAAGAAAGGTAAATGGAAAAGTGGGGATTAAAAAGAAAAAACCTATTTGCTGGAGCCACCAGATACAGGCCCGAATCTGTCCCCAGTGAGGTTGCCTAGGAGACCACTCCTCTCAAGAAAGCTCCTCTGCTGGGTGCCTTGAGAGGCCCCAAAGTCGGAGAGGGCTGGCCAACAAAGCTGGGGGATGTGGGAAAATACTGAGGACCCCTCAGCCCCTTTAACGGAGGGACCCCAGGGGCTCTCAGCAGGGGTGACTTCAGGGAGGCTGAGGGCACGGGACAAACGTCCTAAGAATGTTAGGGGCGAGAGCAGGAGGCAGGGACCAGAATCCCAGCCTCAAAGCTGAGAACGAGAGGCCTTCCAATGGGGAGCAGACGGAAACTCACAGCAGATTTTTCAGGTATGTCTCGACCAGCTCTGATTTAGCCTCCGGAGTTCTCTCCTTCCCCACCCACAAGCCCCCTGGTGACAACGATGCCCATGCTGAGCACCACTCCCCACGCCTGGCACTGGGTGAGATGCTCCCGAGTCAGTCCATGAGCCTCCAGGGCTCTCCAGGCCCTCCTTGGCGGGACCCCACGTACACCACCAAACTGCTGAGCCCCAGCGGATGGGGCTGAGCCCGGCTATGTTTGGGCTGAACGAGCAGGGTGCCATTTGTTTGTTTTCACCCAGCTCCTGAGCCCACATGTGAGTTTGTTGTTAACACTTTGGCATGAGAGGGGCAGAGGCTCTGGACTTCTGGGGACTGAGGAACACCCGAGGACAACACTCACTTTGCTTGTTGATGGCCAGCTCATCCTTCAGCTTCTTCAGATCAGCCTTCAGGCTCCTGTTCTCTTCGCCCGCCTTCACCTCAGCGTCCCTGCCATCCAACTTGACTCCACCAACAGCAGTTTCCTAAGAAGAGCGCCAAGGGCCCGGGTTACTTGGGTGGGTAGGTGGGAGGGAGGGAGGGAGGGAGGGACTCCAGCTCTATCTTCCCTACTGAGCTGCAATTCCTCAAGCTGCCCTGGGCACTTGCCCCTTCGGAAATGTCAGCACAGAACTGGGCCACTGCTTGTTCCCAGGCACCAGGCAAAGGCGAGGGCCAGCAGGGCCACCTGCTGCAGCTCACAGGCCACACACCCTGCCTTCCCTGGCTCCCAGCGCTGCCTCCTTTCTCAGCAGCTCCTCGGAGTCGAACAGTACATCCAATGACTCAATTTGCTGTCAACCAGGGATTTCTGCCAGTCACCCCCAACTGACAAATGCCCTTCCTGCCTCTCCCCAGCTCACTCCAGCCAAGATGCCCCGAACTCACCCCTGCCCATCCAACTCTGTCCTGCCTATAACTCCAAGTCCATCTACCTATTTCCCAGCTGGGCTCACAACTCACCTCCTCTGATAAGCCTTCTAGGACTGGCCACTCCCTGTCCCTGCCTCGTCCCCAGCTGAGAGCAATCCTCAGGAGACCAGGGGCCTTATCTTGCATTCTTCTGTGCTAACTTGCCCACAGTTTACAGCACAGGGCTTGGCTCACTAGGGAGTCAGTTTTATCAGGGAAGAGTCTGGCCTGGACACAGCAGTTGGAGGCGAGAGAGCAGCAAGGACACCCCCTTCCTGCCGAGTCCCCCAGATCCCTCCTGCACACGTCCCCAATGAGAACTTCCCCTCAGCCCCTCCACCCAACTCCTCAGCTTTCTCACAACAGCAGTATCATGCTATTCCCGGCTTCATAGGCTAACTGTGGCCGCTATGGCCCATAAAGAATGTCACATGGGGCAGTCAGGCAGACAGAACTCACCTTTTTCAGCTGGTCATTCTCTTCCATGTACTTCTTGGCCGCCTCACTAGCGCTCTCTGCCTGCTTTTTAAAGGCTTCATTGGAGGCCAGCAGGGTGGCCTGCTGAGAGATGAGAGTCACCAGACGTCTGAGCAGGCTGTGATTGTTTATAAAAAGAAGGGAGAAGTGAGCAAAAGAAAGTGGGAAAAATGGCTGGCACGAACTCCTCTTGGTTGCTCCCGCCCCACGCCTGCCTTCAGCCTAGATCTGCCCTTTCAGATTGCCAGGCAGCCAAGCAAGACGCCGCCAGCCTGGATCTGGCAACACAAGGGGAAAGGTGGAGCCCTGGAGCTGTCCTCTGCCCACGGTTCTGGGGCTCTCCTCCAGCCTCAAAGGCACAGGAAGAAGGAGCCTGACAGGACACCTGGGGCCAGGCCTAGCTACAGCCCAAGGGCCTGGAACCCAGCACTTTCCAGGTCAGGGCCTGGATGTGCCAGAGAAGCCACTGCGCCATTTTCCTCGCTGCGAGGCCAGGCTCGCCTTGATAAACAAGAGCAGCTAGCACCTGGAGGTGCTTCCAACGGGCCAGCTGAATCCCCGGGGCCCCCTCGTGAGGTGGGCACTATTGCTGCTTCCATTTCACAGAGGAGAAACTGAAGCTCAACGGGCTGAAGCAACTGGATGAGGTCAAGAGCCAGAAACAGATGTGGTTGGAATCCCCAGTCCTGTCTGTCCAACCTTGAGGCCTGAGCTGGGAACCACTACACATTCTAAATTTCCAGGGAACCACTCCCAGGCCGACTGAGAGAGATGGAAATGACTCTTCTCTCCCCACACCCTTCTCAAACACATTCTACAGGCAGCTGCCAGAACACATCTGTTAGATAACATCACCACATTGAGGTCCTATGGGGCTAGGCGGACAGAAAACGAAGAATCATGGCCCAGGTGCACATCTCAGGTCCAGCCAAGCCATGAGGAGCAAACAGGTGGCCGCTGGGGGCACACGCTACTCCATTTCCCGACAGCCACCCTTGCCCTGAGATGTAACCTGGCAGGAAGAGAGAGGAGGGAAGGACTCCATCCCTCAAGAAAGGCACAGCTCAAACCGTCAAAACAGGGCACAGGTGGGGGCTGGGGGACACTCTGCCCACACACCTGGGACAGGGGCCCGGCTCAGCCACAGCTCAGAGGAAGGCATGGTCCTGTCTGTGCAGGGGCCCTGGGGAAGAGGGAAAGACTCTGTTTTGTCCAGGGTGTTCTCACAATAAAGTTCTTGCACGGAGCAGAAGTTGTCTCAGTCACCTGCTCTCGGGCCCCTCTCTCCAGGACCCCCGGCAGCCTTCGCAGGGTTCTCGTGGACACCTGCTCATCACATAGCCCAAGGGGATGGGGAAAGCCAACAAGGACAGCTCCCTCCTGGCCTGGGCCTGGCAGAACCCCTGGCTGGAATGAGCACGTAGGGGGAAGCAGGCTTGCAGCAGCTGAGACACCCACCACACTTCCTGGTGTGGGGAAAGGCTCCAGGGGCCCCTGGCAGTATGGGAAGAGCCAGGCCGCTGGTTCCTGGCAGGAAGGGAGAGTTTCCAGTGACATGTGCTCTCTAAAATTAGCGGCTGGGACCTCGTGGCCCAGGGCTCAGGTTTCCCTGTCTCAGCCCCCAACTGCCCACCAGCCTGCCCCACACTGGGCTGGACCCCTGAAAGTGGAGGGAGCTCCCGAGCACCCCAGAAGGCAGAGAGAAGCAATGCACCTGACTCACGTCAGCAGGGTGGAAGTCACTGGAGGGGCCCAGAGAGAAAGGCAAGTCAGCCCCAGCCTCCCAGCACAGAGTGCCTGGGCAGCTCGGAGTGGATCCCAGTGATGTGGAGCAGGCCACTCCTCCCAGCTGGAGCCTGGATGGGGGGAGGACATGTGTGCCACCTGGCGGACCCAGCAGGCAAAGACAGGACAGGCAAGTCCAAGGGTGACACTTCCCCCCAACAAGGCTGGGCAGGCGGCTGACAGGAGCAGGACTCTAGTAGCACTTTGAATGACCAAAGCTGTCACTTTGGTCAGGGACAGTTACCCAGGGAGGCTGGGCCCAGGGTGGTGGTGGCAGCAATGGATGACAGTGGCAGCACAGCAGGGGCCCAGCTCTCCTCAGTGCCCTCCCAGGCCGTCCCCAGCTATGGAGAACCAGGGTTGCCAACACGCAGAGCCCCGCACGAGAGCTGTCCAGGGGGCCTTCGTCTGAACTTGCGGCCCTTAGTTAGGGTCTCCCCTTCAGTGCAGGGCAGCCGCCCCTCCACACACCGGCACGTGTCTTTCATGCCATCCATGTCCTCTCCCTTCCTGTTAGACCTGTTCCTCCAACCTGGCCCAGGACAATTCTGGGTAATTCTTCCCTCCAGGAACCTCACTCCTCAACCACTCTCCCCTCCTCCTCCATTCCTCAACCAAGGCCAAGCTAGGCCCTGGCCTGGCCAAGCCACTAGCAGGACTACCAGAGCCCTAACCGCCCAATCCAAGGAGGGCCCTGGGGTCCTCGGGGCGCCCACTGTGCAGCACTTGGGGCAGCCGACAAGTCACCCTCGTGGAATTCTCCCCTGCCCTCAACTCAAGCAACCTTCACCACCTGTCAGTCTCATCCCCGACAGGGTTTATCTCAGCCCAGCCCTTAGACCCAACTGCCTACTAAACAGCGGCTCCTGGGCATCCCCGAGACCTGCCCAGCTCAGCCTGTCCAAGAAGGCCAGACTGCCCCTGCACCCTCGCTGTGTGCAGGGCGTCACTGATCTACCCTAGCTCCCAGGCCTATGCGCCACCTTGGGCCCCCTCCTCCTCCCCGTCAGCCCCAGTCATTGTAGAGTCCTGTCCCTGTCACTTCCAGACAGACTACCTCCCAGTCAGCCCCATCACCAAGAGTGATGGCCCTCACCGCTTCTTTCTGGTGGGATTTTAACAGCTCTGAACTGGCCTCCTCCCTACCAGCCACCATACAGCTCTGCAATCCATGCCCCAAGGAAAGCCAGAGCGATCTTTCTCCAAGACAATCTGACCACATCACCCCTCTGCTTTGATCCCTCTGACACCTGTCCACCACCTTTGGCTGGCACATGGCCCTTTGCAAGCTGGCTCTTCTCCCCTCACCACCCATGTGGCCCTCTGCTCTAGCAACACCAAACCACCGGTCCTTCCTGGACCACGCTGGGTTTTCGCATGCCTTGTCTCCACGTCAGCCCTCTCCTCTGCAATGGCTTTCCTCCTGCTCTTTGAGAACTCTTGCTGATAACTCAAGACCCAGCTCAATCACCACCTTCCCTTCCTGGGCCCCCTTCTGGGTCCTGCTCCCATCTGCTGCATTGTTCTCACTCCATTCTCCTCCTTAACTCTCTGCATCATCATCTCTTCCTTATCTGGCTGCCCAGCTAGGAACGCCTTTGGGCCGGGGACTGTCCCTTGGATCTCTAGATCCCTCATACCTGGAATGCTGAAAAAGGGCCTTGAGATGACTCCCCTCCTCACGTGCATGAGGCTGCACCTCAGGCCAGGGCAGAATGTAGGTCTGGGGGCCCGGCTCTCCCCAAACTCAGCCTTCCCTCAGCCCAGCCATGCTGAGGGGTACACAAGCAGACGTGGAACTCGCCAGTCTGTCAAACAGCATGGTGACAGGAAGCAGTGGTGGGAAGGCGCCATGTCAGACCCGTGTTGATGAGCAAGCCCGGCTTGTGACTGCAGTGGTGGCTGAGAAGGCACACGGGAAAACACTCATCACCAAAGCTGGGGGTGGAGCCAGTACCCTGGCCCGAGTCCACAGGGTGCTCCCACAGGGCTCCAGGCTAAGCCAAGAGCAGCGCGCCCTACCATTGCTGACCAAGAGCTGCCCTTCTAGAACATCTTACTGCCCCTGATACACTGGGGCCCGTGCTCTTGCGCCCGCCCTCAACTCACCCATCAAGATTCAGCGGTGAGGCTCCCTCTGCAACTCTCCACCCCCCAGCCCTCCCAGACACATCAACGCGCCTTTTGTGTGTCCCCTCAGCGCTCCGAGTGTCCACTGGGCCCCAGGACAGAGCAGGGCACACGGCGGAAGGTGCTGAGCTTCAGAATCTCCAAGTATCCACAGCCCAGAAGACATCAGCTGGGAGAAAAGGCTGACGTCCTGCTCTGCCCTCCCCCCAATGTTATCCTCCATGGCTCCCTGCTCTACCACCCAAGTCTGGTCATGCGGGTAACCACACGACAGGTGAGAAGCCCCAAGCCAAAGGGATTTCCCAAAGGTACAGGGTTAACAAAGGGGCCTCGGGTCTGCGTTAAACGCACCCAGTGACAGAGGGAGAAGCCAGCTCACGAACCTTAAGAGAATCCAGATGTATCCTTGGCAGACAAATGTCATCCCCAAATACCTGAATTCAACTCAGCTTTCTCAGCAAGATGTTTTTGGACGCTGAGCCGGGTGCTCATGCTTTCATAAAAGGTTCAGTAAACAAGAGAAGGCAGGAGAAACAGAATCTCTGTACGGACACTAGAGAAACAGGGCCAATCGTATCAAGTGGGGGAGACGTTCATATGAGCTTCACACTAATCTGGTCTCCCTCCTGTGGGCTTAACAGGAATTGGGGCAGGAGCATGGGGGAGGGTCCTCCCACATCCCAACTGGAATATTCTATGGTTGTGGCGTCCCCCCGCCACTCTGTTGTCAATCCTGCCCACATAGCATTTGCCAGGCATCTCCTAGGTGCCACGCCCTCAGATGAGTTGGGTCACTCAGCCCTCAGGACCCCACTGCAGGACAGGTAGGCAATTCCCCTTCACCCCACTGCCCCCGTGCAAGTGGGAAGCTGGTGTCACAACGCCACCTGTTGACTCTCCAAGCCAACTACAGCTCTGTCTCTGGCGGTGTTCTGCAGGGCAGCCAGTAGATTCTGGGTGAACCCGCCCCAACAGTCCAGGAAAAAATACAGGAGGCAGCCACCCTGCCAAGGAACCAAAAGCTTGGTGATGCCCCAGGAAAGGCTTCAGGCAAATTACAACTGTAGTAACAGGGCGCAAGTCGCCCCAGGAAACTCTCACCCTAGAGCCTCGAGTCATGAAAATAAGAAAGAAGCAAAACAGGAGAAAGAAGAGTTGATTCAAAAGGATCCAGGGAAAATCTTCCTAAAGGGCTACCTCGAG